CTCAAGCATTATAGCTTGTTATCTCAAAGAAAAGACAAATAGACCTCTCGCTTTCTTACTCAGTGGCCACATCAAATCTTTCATAAGGAACCACGACTAGATCTGCTTTAGTTACATGTCACTCTTGGACCCGTCACTTTATTCAGAGAAACAGGGTGATGGCTCTGATTGGCCAACCGAGGTTATGTTTATTATAGTCAAATCTAGCCAGGGGTCAGATTCCAGGTTTTCCTGTGGCTTTTTTGAGCCCATGAAAAGCTTGGTTAGCCCTGGCCAGGCTGTGGGTTTCAAATCAGGATATGTGAGAGATGGAAGGGGACCCAGAGGAGGTCACGGAACCCAGCACAGCCACGGCCAGAGAAGTGTCTCAACCCTATGTGACTGAGTGCTACTGCTGGTCCCTTCCTTTGCCTGTGCCACCACCACTAGAAAGATTAGATGGACTTATCCTGTCAGAGCAACTCAAGCACCCTGCCAGAGAGAGGGGCAAACACCGGCCACGTTGCAGGCCACGTCAGGCCAGCCAAGCCGAAACTGCGTGCCGCCTCTTCAGTTGCCTCACCTTGCCTCTCTGGGCCAAACCCTGTGTAACTGAGATGTCGGCTACTCAGAGCCCTGCTTCAGATGGGGCTGAGAAGGGGGTGCTTGGGCTTACACTGTCTACTGCCTCTTCGTGTGCCTTTTTGTCCTAGGACAGGTGGTTCCTGGGACAGTCTTTCCCAAATTATAAATCCCAAGAGAGAAGATGTCAAAGGGGAAGGCAGGGCGACTGTCCTCAAAGAGACCTCCTGCCGGGAAGGGGAGCCCATGGGGGCGAAGAGTGTCCGTGTTCCGGGGCAGCGTGCATCTGGCATGAGCAGGGGCCGCTTGCCTGTAGGTGCTACTTCCGCCATCTGAAATGCTTCTTCAGGTCTCCCCCTCAACAGATTCTCTAGATGATGCCCCTGCCAAGTCATGAAACATGTATCAGGGACACTGGCTTGCTTCACAGAGGTCAAACGAGTGGTAGCTGGAAGATAGGTGCTGATGGTGCTCATGGAGATGATGTTTTGCTTTTTCTGATTTTGTCTCTGTTCTCTGTCCAACTCTTCCTTCTTTGTAAGGTGAGGAGCATATATGTATTTGGTAGCTCGATTCCTCTTATGGACTCCTGGTTTATCATTTGTCCCATGGTTATTGCACACTCCCATGGCAGGTTCCTGGAGAGCTGACCTCAGTCTGTAATGAATGTTCAGGGCAGCAAGTGCCCTCAGCATGTGACCATGCTTCCTTCTGCCTGGAACCACCCATGACTCCCTATCATCTACCAGACAGAGTCTGAGTTTCTTCAATGACCACAAAGGTCTGTCTGACCCTTTCAGCATTTTCTCCTGCTTTTCTTAGGCACTTAGTGTCAAGCCACATAACTGTGGATTGCTGGCCGCTCCACCTCTTTTCATGCTTTTGTGTCTTTTTTCATGCAGTGCCCTCTTTCTCGAATCACCTGCTGCTACCCATCTTCCATGTAAGCAACTTCTACTCACCCATCTTCGGTTCAGATGTCACCTCTACTATATAGCCTTCCTAATTCCCTCACAGTATGAGTGACCTGTGCTCCTGCAGCCCACCCCTCTCTGTAATATACCTTATACCTGTCTTCTTATGGGTCTGTAGAGAGATGGTGTACAGGGAAAAGAGCAGGAGCTTTGCACTCTTTGCACTTGGGTTCAAAACCTGGCTCTGCCACGTGTCAGCTGTATGTCTTTGTAAAAGTGATCTGACCTCTGGGAGCCTCTTCAGTCTTTACTTGTAAATGGGCATAATGATCTCTTCTGAAGTGTTTTGTTGAGGATGAAATGAACCAGCCAGTGATGTGCTTAGTGCGGTACTTGGCACATAGGAGTTTTCAGTGACTTGAAAGGGTAGAGGTGTGGTTATCATGATTATTATTGAATCATAGAATCTCAGAGATGAGAGAGACCTGAGGGGTCATCATGATGCCTACAAAGCCTGATTCCTACTCCCTTGTCTGATAGTTATCTAGTTTCTCCTTGAACTCTGCCATGGACAGGGAGCTCACTTTGTCTCTAATTTTTTGATACTTAGTGCTGTTGATGCAGAGGTTTGCTAGTTCTTAGGCTGAGTTACTCTGTATCTATTTGGCAACTGTTGTAAATTGGCAGTTATATGGATGATACACATTACTTATATGCATGTATGTATATATATCATATATTTATGTGTGTATGCATGTCTATTTATACTTAGTGACGTTTCACCATATATGATTTCCTAAAAAGTCTTACTCAGAAAGCTGAGTTGGGAAGTCACAATGGAAGTTAAACTCTAAAGCAGAGTTGTGTATGGCTTTGCATTTTCTTAGAGATATCATTTCTTGGTGGGTTTGTTTCTGTTTTTTTGTTTTGTTTTGTTTTTGCTTATTTCTGAATAGAACACTAGTAGCTTGTAATGTTGCTGCAATTCTTAAGCATACCCTGTCTGAGCTTGATAAAGAGAGAACAAAATCTGAGTGACATAATAACATAGTGAATTTAAAATTAACACCATTTTGTTGGCAGAGAAGACATGCCTTTCCTAATGTGACTTAGAAAGAATCTTGAAGTAGGAGCGAGAAATCCTAAGATCTTTTATGGTACCTTGGCTTCAGTTTTCTTATCTGTGAAGTGGGAGCATTGGACACTCAGAGACAGGATATGGAAAAGGCAGAGGTGGACTCTGTCCACTAGAAAGACATACTCCCTTTCCCCAATTCAACCTGAGAAGCTCTTTCTTTACTTTTTCAATCTGAAGTATGCATTGGAGTCCCTTATAGGGTGTTGTTTGAAACATTCTATTGCTTAAAAAATTTGAAAACTTCTACATGAGACTATCTTTAAGGTTCTTCCAGCTCCAGAAACTATTATGGCACTGAAACAGAAGAAGTTACATCTTTATTACATGTTCAGTTTTTAAAATTTTCTAAAATGCAACAAAGTCATGTTTCAGAAACTTGTTAAGAATGTTTTTTGTCTTCCCTCTCTGATTAGCTTAATTACAGTGAAATGCTACTCCTTTTCTTTTTCTTCCAAAATTTGCTTTTCTCTGACTTAATTGAAGTCCCACTGATACTAAGAGCAAGTCACAAGTATGGTGGAGGGGAAGAAGATGAATATTATCCTTTATCCTTCCCTTCTGTTCTTTTGTTCCTAGCCGGTCCTTGGGGAAACCATGATTTAGTTAAAGTATATATTCAGTGATGTGCATCTTTCTTTTCAGCAATCCCTCCTCCACCCAGCTCTCTCCAGATGACCTTATAGATCATAAAGGTGAACAGATGTTAGAAATCTTTTTGCCTAAATTCCTTACTTTATTAAAAGCAGTGGAAAAACGGGACCCTGTGAGGAACACAAATTTGTATTGGGTAAGGTAATGAGCCACAACTCAAATTCTGGCCTTTTCCAGTTCTGTTCTGTTTCTAGTGGATCTAGATAACCTCCTTGTGCTTCAGTTTTCTTACTGTCAAATGAGGATAATAATAACAATAATAATATGTGCCATGTAGAGGTGTTGCTAGTATTATGTGAGCATAGAACCTTTAGGACAGTGCTTGGACCATAGAAAGTTTCAGGTATAGTTTTCTATTGTTATCATTACTATACTTCCATTATGACTGCAGGCTGCTCGGGGTGCGCAATGTGATGGAAACCCCATTTGGGGACCATGCTCCTATCTTGCAACCCCAAACAAGTTGTTAAAATAATCTCTTTTAACATCCAGTTCCACCAGGTCACTGTTCCTTGCTGAGTGACATCAGGTACATAATTGGTTTTATTCAGATAAATTAATTTTATGTTAATATGTTGGCTGTTTAATACTATCTTTACCTGGTAATAATGCCTTAACTCAGTGAAAATGTATGTACTTCCAGAAAATCCTTAAGGACTGGCTTTAATGAGGTGACTTCTGGTGTGTGTGTAGGTCATTTTTAATCAAATAGGTCTGTCATCTCACTGAGAGCCAAGTACCTTCTCCACTGGACTGAATGAGGCTAGCCATGCCATCCTCGTCTGATGGATAGGAAAATAATGTATAACATATGCCTGATGGATAGGAAAACAATGCTGGGTGTGACTGAAAGAATCTATCAAATGCCAGTGAGGAAAAATATGGTTATAGAGCAAGCTGCACCCTGAATCTCAGGAGCCCTGAGTCCCAGGTTTGAAATGGCTCCTGGAGAGTGGTGGTGGCTTCATCTAGGCGGGAGTCAGACCAGCAGTTCTGTGAAGCCAGGGCTGCAATCAGCTTGAGCTGGGATCTTCTTTCTCTTCTTTTTCTTTTCTTTTTGTCTTTGGTCTCTCTTAGTCCCACCTCCTTCTTCCCCTTCCAGCTCCCATCTAGCCCACTCTTCCAGATCATTCTACTTTATTGACATTGTCAGCGACCTAGGTAGGGGGACCCACACAGTGAGTTGCATCTTTGTGGAGCTGATACTCTTCCTCCCCAGTCTCAACATTTACTGAGCCATCGCCCTGCAGGGATCCCTTGAGGAGTAGGTCACCTTAAGCCGCGGAAACTTCTACCTCCTCACTGGGTTTCTATTTTCCTTATTCGAGCCATTGGAGAGAGGGAGGGAGAGAGATGAAGACTCCCATTAGCAAGAACATAACAAGACTTTGTAAGTGTGCTGTGTGGTTACTTTAGTCCCTATCAATTGCTTTAATATTTCAAAATGGAATCGGCCGTCGCGCGGGCGTGAAGGGAGCGCTGTAAGTGAAAAGCCCCAGCACAACTCGGGGAACCTCGCCCGGCCCGTTGCCCCACCAGCAACCCTCCAGCCCCCTGGGAGGACACCGAGCTCCCTTCCCTCGCATTTCCGCGCGTGGTACCGTGTCACGCATTTTGTGCGGGCTTGGGAGCCCCCGACCCAGCCGGGGGGGGGATGCGGGGCGGCGGGCGGCCCGGGCGCGGGGCGCGGGTGCCGGGCTGGAGGGGGGAGCGCGTGCCCTGCGGACGGCGGTGCCGGCGCGCCCCTCCCTCCGCACGCGCAGGTGCCAGACCAGACGCCAGCTCCGGCGCGCTGACAGACGACTTTCCTCAGTTGTCAGTTTTCTCGCTTGTCAGCAGAGCTGCTGGTAAGTGAAAGAAAACAGGGGAAGCGAAGGCGGCGAGGCAGCAGAGAGGGGGGGCGGCGCGAGGTGGTGCGGGTGCGCGGCCCCCAGCTCGGAGCACCCAGCCCGCGCCGACTCCCCGCCCGGCTCATCCCCTTCCCTCGCTCTTTCCCACTTTCTCCTCGCTTCCTCCCCTCCCCACTCTGCTCGTTTCCCCTTCTCCCTGGCTCCCCAAGTCCTTCAGCTGCCACACTATCGCTTTTGTGGCTTTGTTTTTTTAAAAAAGAAAATCCAGATAGGCACAGCCCCTGGGAATCAACCCGGGACTATGCCGGTTCCCGCAGCTGCCTCCACGCCACACTGGGACCTGGGGTCGCCCGCGGTCCGAGCCCGCTTTCAGTCCGGATTTGGGGGACCCAGCAACGGGAGTGCGCGCCAAAAGTGACAGGCAAACCCGACCCGGCGAGGAGGCGGGGAGGGGACAACCCAAACTCCCTCAGCCTCACTCCAGTGATACCCTGCAGCTATGGAGTCGCCAACCAAGGAGATAGAAGAATTTGAGAGCAACTCTCTGAAATACCTGCAGCCGGAACAGATCGAGAAAATCTGGCTTCGGCTCCGAGGGCTGTAAGTAACTATTTATTTCGTTTGTCCCATTTTCCTCTCCCATCAGTACTTTACTACACAGCCAGTTATGACTGCTCACTGTTCCCACAGGGCCCTTTAAATGAAATGTAGCCCTAAAAGTTCCACAACTGCTTGTCTGTTGATTACAGTCACTGCTGCGTTTCTTTGAACAGAGATTGTTTTTCTGCTTTGTGTTTGGAACGCCTTGCTCTTTCCAAGTCATGCTTTCTTTGGGCGAGTAAATTTGCAGCTTGCTCCTGAGTTGACCAGGCAGGTCCCAGAGACATCTTCCCTGACTCCCAGATACTCATTTCAGCAAACATTTGGCATCAAATACCTAGTGCGGTTTAAAAAAAAATAGTTTTTCTCCAAGTATGTTCTCCAGACATTCTGTTCCTACCAAGAGCAGTGATGGGAAAACAGCTCTCTGACTGTTCATTTTGCTGCAGTTATTATTTTTGAAAGTATACACACACACCCCCCAAAACAAATAAGAAAGGCACTGACTTAAGTTACCTTCATCTTAGGGGAGATCATAGCCAACTGGGATATTCAAAGTTTCTAAAGGGAAGCACTGAGGTAGTATGTATTTCTTTTAGGGGTTCCTATTTATAGTGCAGTTTATAAAAGCCATTCCGTCAAAAAGAAAATGAGCTTCATTGCCATTGATCTAAGTGGGAAACCATGCCAAATAATGAGTTTTTTTGGACTGTCTGGCTGCTGCAAGCAGAGGCTGTAAACTTATTTGGAAGTCTTGTCTTTCTGGCTGGCAGACTCTGATGACAGTTGAGATGCATGCAAGGCAGCACCTTTTTTCAGAGAGATGTTTACAGTCAGCTCATGTCATATATAAGAAGCATGACATCTGATCACATGGTGCCGCACACAGAGAGTTTGTTGTGTCCACAAAGTCTGGGTCCTAGGTATTCAATGTCAAAGTGCTGTCAAGCTGGTCTCCTTTGCCATCCGGGCTGGAGGGACCCACTCATACTCTAAGGAGCTGCTTCTCTCTGGCTGCCTTGACAATTCAAACGGACTGACTCCACAGAGCTCCTCTGGCTTGAGAGGAGTGTTTGGGCAAATCAGCAAGGCTTAGGTGAGAACTTGTGCAAAAAAGCACTTAGTGCTTACAACACACTATCTTGTAGTTTTTTGTGTTTCAGATCTGTTAGGCTCTCTCCCAAAGGTGTTGGAGTTTGATGTAGCCGCATTTTCCTTTCCTAGTCTCTTTTATCTACTCAGCACCTGGTGTCTTTGAATATAAAAGGTGTGGGTTGATTCCTCTCCAAATGTGTTTTTGAATTCCTCATTTTTACTCTTCCTTCTTAAATGCTTTGCCCAACAGCAATCCTAGGAGGCCTGTAGCTTCACTTTCTAATTTGAAAAGGACATGTTACTACTGTTATGACATTTTATTTTACTGTTTTTATGGTTGCTACTACCACTTAAAAAAAAACTGAACAGTAGTGCTGTAATAAGTTGCTAAAGACTCTGGAAAACAAGCACATGCTTATTTATACAACTTGGAATAAGACTTATGCAGTTCACCTTTAGGAGATGCATAGAAACCTTTAGGAGATGAAAGGGTGTGTGTCTATTTGTCTACACAACAGACTATCAATAAGAGGAAGGAAGTTGCTCTTTCAATAATTTAGAAAGACCCAATAGCCACAGTCAGATTTTCATATCCACTTATTACTATGACAGCCTTGTAGAAAGGGCTTTAAGGGTGATCTTAGATAGTCAGGAATTCAGTTCAGCTTGTTTGAGAGCCTCAGTTTAGGACTTGGTCATCTCATGCCTGGATCAGTCAGTGATGTCTGTCTCTTGTCAGTGTCTCTCCCATTTAATCTTCATTGAGTTTCTCATCTTCTCCATCACAGTGCAAGTTCCTTGAGGACAGACACTTTGTGTGTCTTGCTCACTCAATCCTGTACCTCTAGTGCCTAGAGCAGATTTTGGCATATAGTAGGTGCTCAATCACTATGTGCTGAAGGAAGCATAAAGAGCCAAATGTGAGCTTTTTAATACTCAAAATGAAGATAAATATATATTTGTGTCAGCTTTTAGGCCACGTGAACTATCAGTACAATACTCTGTGAATTAGATGGGAGGTGGGTTTTATTAACATAATAAATGTTAGTATGTCCTAGATTGGACGCAGAAGTCTAAACTAAGGCAGGAACGGGGCAAGATATGGTGAAGCCATGACCCAGGGCCAAATCCCACTCTTGTGTTTACCCAGATTTTCTCTTTTCCTCTCTTTCTCTCTCCCTCTTTCTGCACTGGCCAGGAGAATGGTCTTTACCAGCAGCCAGAGGATGGTTGCCGTTATTATCTGTTGAGAATCTATGGCGTAGGAGAATATAGGGGGTAGTCCCCTGTACATTACAGCCCCCACTTGTTCCCCTCCTATGCTTTATTATTTTTTTCTCCAGTACATCTTGTCTCAACATCAGAATATTTTATTTTGTTTGTTTTATTATGTTTGTTGTCTGTCTCCTCCAACTAAAATATATGCTCCCTGACAATATTGTTTTTTGGTCTGTTATGGTCCCTGGTGTATCCCCAGTGCCTACAGTGCTACCTGTAGATAGTAAATTACCAATAGGTATTTGAAACTTAGTGCTGCTTCACATATTTTTCTAGGAAAGAATTGGGAAAAAAGAATCCAGCTTTGTAGCATCATCAACATGCTAAGAGTGCATCAAATACTGGAAATGTTTAAACACCATTACCCGAGCTGGGGCGACAGACCCCTGGGAGCCTGGGTGCTTCCTGGAGACTCCCATTTCCCTAGAGTGAGGTGCTGAACACCAATGCATAGAGGCGGACTGTGGTTCAGGGGCTAGGTGTTCCTTAGCCTCCCTCTGCAGCCCTGCCACCCTCTCATCTACATGCTCACATTTCTCCAAGCTGGAGAGGAACACACTGCACACCTGACCTTCCTAATTGTACCCGTCAAAGGGATGCTGTCCTCTTCTGTTTCTGGGGCGAGACTCTTTCTTTTGCATTTCCATTTCTGTAAACCTCAGGTGGGCCCCATGTGCCATTGTCATGGTTATTTTCTCTTTAGGAGTGGGTGGATTTTTAAGAGCCCCTCCCGAAGGCTGTTTTGTTAGGGAATCTTTTAGTCAGGGAAAATAGACAACCACTAAAGTTTATTCTTCTGAGGACGTGGGGTATCCTCAAGGCTTCTTGGGTTTGAGTCCTGACTCTTGGGTCCTGACCAAGAGTTTTCCTATCACCAGCCTGCTGCTATATGATGACAAGAGTATGCTTCTCTCTCTTTTTTCAATTGAGAGCTGGAGAACAGCTTTCACTTTATTTCTTGGCATTTATTATCATAATTGTAATTAAGCTATCATGTATTTATTTTGCCCAACTATGAGGTAGTCAGTATAACATATTTTATTTTTATGCAACACTTTCTATGAAGATGATGATGACTTCTTTGCATTACCTAAAATCATACGAGTATAAAGGGGTTAACAGACTGGGGCTGCTGTTCTTGTCTATTCAGCAAGCAAGCTTTCTCACCCTCTTTGTGATGGTAATAGACTCCCCTCCCTCCTGCCCTAACCCCTCCCCACTGCCAGGGTGGGCTCAAGGTCCAGGACTGGCCAGTTGTGGAATTTCACCTTTATGGAACAATGGTCCATCAAGTGTGGCGCAGAGCCTGAGTAGGAGCAACAGAGTCCTTCACTGAGTTGCCCCTCTTGGCCATGGGAAAGTGCTGCTGCTTTTCTTCTGGGTTTTCCTCATGGCTCCCACTGGCTCCATTTCCCCCTTTCTGGAGAAGACTGTTCCGTGAAAGGAGACAGTGAGGCCGCCACTCTAAGAGAAGCAGAGGGGAGAAGGTGGACTGGAAATCTCCGGTCTGCCTGCAGGGGCCCAGGTCCTGCAGTGATTTCTCTCTGTCCCTCTCTCCGCTACAGGCACCAGTCAGGCTCCGGAGTTGCTTAGGCTGCCTTGAGTTTGATTTCTCTTAAAGAGGCTTTGCCTGTGTCCCGCTGAAGCCCAGAGAGCTTAGGTGACTCTCCCAAACTACCAAACAGAGACGGGGCGAGAAGCTATAGGCAAAGAAGCCTGCATCTCTGGTTTCATATTTCTTACTTAATTAAGCTCTCTCACTCTTCATTTTCTTTCTACTCATCTAAAAGTTTTTATAGGGTCATCATGAGTTTATTCAGGTAACATTTATTGAATGTCTATTATATGCCAGGCACTTTGATAAGCTCTGGGTATGCAGAAGTAGAGAAGACAATTCCCTGCCCTTCATCCATCCCTAGGCTGGCGGAAGAGACTGAGGATTAGCCGAAGTGTTGACTTTGGTTACAGAGGGAGGCATGGGAACTTTCCTCCTTGTGCCCTGGAGGGCCAGGGAAAGTGTCTCAGAGGAGAGGCGAGCTGCCGGTTTGTTCTGAGTGGGGTCCTCAGAGTCACAAGGAAGAAAGCTGCACAGATTCCTTTCATTCATTTTCAGCTTGTTTGAGAGCCTCAGTTTAGGACTTGGTCATCTCATGCCTGGATCAGTCAGTGATGTCTGTCTCTTGTCAGTGTCTCTCCCATTTAATCTTCATTGAGTTTCTCATCTTCTCCATCACAGTGCAAGTTCCTTGAGGACAGACACTTTGTGTGTCTTGCTCACTCAATCCTGTACCTCTAGTGCCTAGAGCAGATTTTGGCATATAGTAGGTGCTCAATCACTATGTGCTGAAGGAAGCATAAAGAGCCAAATGTGAGCTTTTTAATACTCAAAATGAAGATAAATATATATTTGTGTCAGCTTTTAGGCCACGTGAACTATCAGTACAATACTCTGTGAATTAGATGGGAGGTGGGTTTTATTAACATAATAAATGTTAGTATGTCCTAGGTTGGACGCAGAAGTCTAAACTAAGGCGGGAACGGGGCAAGATATGGTGAAGCCATGACCCAGGGCCAAATCCCACTCTTGTGTTTACCCAGATTTTCTCTTTTCCTCTCTTTCTCTCTCC